AGGCCCTGGGTTCGATTCCTCAGCACCACATAAGCAGAAAAAGCCAGGAGTGGGTGCTGTGGCTCAAGTGGTAGAGCACTAGCCTTGAGCTGAAGAGCTGAGGGATAGCGCCCAGGCCCAGAGTTCAGGCCTCACAACCGACCCCCCCCCCAAAAAAAAATATCCTTTTTGGTTCTAACTTTTTCAGTCTTAAATTTTCCTATCTTTGAAGACACACAAATAGTTAAAGATTATCTCATACAAACATCTTGTATCTTTTTTGGTTCTCCTTTTTTTCAGTTTTAACTCATTCTATTCATATCTTTGAAGACACACAAATAGTTAAAGAACACCTGCAGGCACCAAATAGATTCAAATAGATCTAAGTCCTCACACTTCAGTTATGACCTGCTTCTTAACACCCAGGTGCTCAGCAGAACTGAGTGCAGCAGCAGTGTTTGGGTTATTTGCCCTGTATGTGTGGTTAGTGCATTTGTATTATATGCTTAAAGTTTGCTTAAAAGCAAATGTAAGAGCCCAGACCACTGACTCACACCTGTAATCCTAGCTGCTCAGGAGGCTGAGATCTGAAGATAATGGCTCAAAGCCAGATTGAGCAGGAAAATCTATGAGAGTCTTACCTCCAATTAACCACCAAAAAGCCAGAAGTGGCACAGTGGCTCAAGTGGTAGAGTGCTAGCCTTGAGCAAAAGAAGCTCAGGGACAGTGCCAGACCCTGAGTTCAAACCCCAGAACCAGCATACATACACAAAAAAGCACAAATGTAGAAATAGAGGTGTGTTCAAGGTCTACAGTATTAGCCTCCTCCCCACACACACATTCCTGGGGCTTTAACTGAGGGCTTGGGCACTGTCCCTCAGCTTCTTTTGCTCAAGGCCTCAAGGCTAGCACTCTATCACTTGAGCCACAGTGCCACCTCCAGCCTTTTGTTTATATGGTACTGAGGAATCAAACCCAGGGCTTTATGTGTGCCAGGCAAGCATTCTACCACTAGGCCATCTTTCCAGCCCTAGAACACCAGCCTTGGGTAGAAAGCCAAAAAAGAGTACCTGAGGCCCTGAGTTCAAGTATCACCACTAAATAAATAAATAAGGAGAATGTAGTTCAGGAGTGGATTTTTTGCCTAGCATGTGCAAAGCCCTGGGTTCTATCTCCTGTATTATGCAAACAAAACAAATACCATAACAAGAATAAATAAGCAATCATATACTCTGATCAATAAGCACTGGACACTTAGATTATCTAGCTGTCGGGTTAAACCGTAACCCCCTTGTAAAACCTTCTCAAGTTCAGAAGATAAAAAAGGGAAATATCATTGTAAAAAAATTTATTGTGAGGGGAAACACAGGAGGAGGCTACAATGCTTGATAAGAAATGTACTCATCATCTTGCCCATGTAATTGTAACCCCTCTGTACAGTATTTTCACAATAAAAAAAATATTTTAAAAAAATTTATTGTGAAAATGTCACAATAAAACCTCTTCATACAGAGTGGCACTGATCAAGATGCATTGTACTCATAACCTGACACATGGAATTGTAACCTCTTCACACAATTTTACTTAATAAAAAACTTATATAACTAAGTATGCAAATAAAAAACACAAATGTAGTTGTAATCTAAATCTCCTAGGACATAAATGAATTAATTTTTAGAAGGTGCAAAACCTCAAAATTAGCCAAGGCTGCCTATAGCAGAATAAAACCAGAAACCATAGGCTTTCAGTTTCAATGCAAACAATGTCAGTTTTATAAAAAGATTTTTAAAAATGAAGATGGATTAAAACATTTAAGATCATTAGAAGTTCAATACACTATCCATATGCAAAACAATTTACAGATTCAATATTAATCCTATCAAAGTTCCATGCTTTTTACAAAGAAAAAGAAAATATCCCAAGATTCAAATGAAACTTCAAATAAAGTTCTTTCTAAAACTTATTAGTAATCAGAGAAACATGACACTAGCATAAAGACCAACATATAAGTCTAATAGAACAGGATAGAGTCCAGAATTAACCCATAAATACTGGGTCAAATGATTTCAACAAGGGTGCCAAGATCATTCAATAGGGAAAGGACAGTCAGCCAATGATGCCTGAAGAGCTTGAGTCACAAGCAAAAGAATTTTTTGGGTTGGTCATGGGGCTTGAACTCTGGGCCTGGGTGCTGTCCCTCAGCTCTTCAGCTCAAGGCTAGCGCTCTACCACTTGAGCCACAGTGCCATTTCTCCAGTTTTGGAGTCTCATGGACTTTCTGCCAGGTCTGGCTTTGAACCGTAATCCTCAGATCTCAGCCTCCTAAGTAGCTAGGATGACAGGCAGGAGCCTGTGCCCGACAACTTTAAAATTCTTTTTTGTCTTTTTGTCTTTTTTTTTTGGGTCCAGTAGTGGGCCTGAACTCTGGGCCTGGGCGCTGTCCCTCAGCTCTTCAGCTCAAGGCTAGCGCTCTACCACCTGAGCCACAGCGCCACTTCCGGGTTTTTTCTTTTTGCTTATGTAGTGCTGGGGAATCGAACCCAGGGCCTCAAGCATGCAAGGCAAGTGCTCTACCACTGAGCCACCTTCCCAGCCCCGACTTTAAAATTCTTAAAAGAAATCATTCCAATGGATTTGGCAATGATTATCTTGGTTATGATGCCAAAAGCATAAACAAAAACAAAAAATACAGACAACTAGACTCAAAGTTTGTCACATCAAGCTGAGAACCAGAGATTCACATCTGTAATCCTAGCCAATCAGAAGGCTGAGTTATCTGAGGATCACAGTTCAAAAGCCAGATATTATCTCCAATTTACTAGCAAAAAATGGAGCTGTGGCTTAAGTGGTAGAGAACTAGTTTCAAGCATAAAAGTTCAGAGACGGGCTGGGAAGGTAGCTCAGTGGTAGAGTGCTTGCTTTGTATGCATGAGGCCCTGGGTTTGATTCCTCAGCACCACATAAAAAGAAAAAAGCTGGAAGTGGCGCTGTGGCTCAAGTGGTAGAGCACTAGCCTTGAGCTGAAGAGCTGAGGGACAGCGCCCAGGCCCAGAGTTCAGGCCCCATGACTGGACCCAAAAATAAATAAATAAATAAAAATAAAAATCAAAGTGTAACAATCATCCATCAAGCCTGTAATCCTGGGCTGGGATGGTGGCTCAGTGGTAGAGTGCTTGCCTTGCATGCCTGAGGCCCTGGGTTCAATTCCCCAGCACCACATAAGCAAAAAGGAAAAAAGCCGGAAGTGGCGCTGTGGCTCAAGTGGTAGAGCACTAGCCTTGAGCTGAAGAGCTGAGGAACAGCACCAAGGTCCAGAGTTCAAGCCCCATGACTGGACCCAAAAACAAAAACAAAAAGCCTGTAATCCTAGCTACCCAGGAGGCTGAGATCTAAGGACTGTGGTTCAAAGCCAGCCCAGGCAGCACAATCCAGAAGACTCATCTCCAATTAACCACCAGAAAACCAGAAGTTGTGCTGTGGCTCAAGTGGTAGAGTGCTAGCCTTGAGCTGAAGAGCTGAAGGACAGCATCCAGGCCCAGAGTTCGAGGCTCATGAAAGACAAAAAAAAAACAAAAAAAAGGAAGAAAAGAAAATAATCATCTAACAATTCTCATTAGTATAAGAAGAAAAATCTAAAAAATAAAATGCTGCTAGAGTTAAATCTAAGAGTATTTCCAAGGTACTTTACCTGCCAAGAATGAACTTGGAATGGAGCTTTTAAAAAAAAAAGCAGCATATGCTCAAACTCATTATAAATAAGTAAATATCGTTATATTTTGAAATGTCCTTAAAAATAGAAAAACTTGAGTACAATAATGGTAGCAAATAAATAAATACGTGTCTGCAAATTCAAGTAGTAACAACCTTCACAATCAGACTGAGCTTATTTTTCCAGTGCTAAGTAAGGAATACCACATATACTAAGTTGGGTCTCACCTATAATCCTAGCTTCTTAGGAGGTGCAAATCAGGAAGATCAGAGTTCAAGGCCCACCTAAAGAAAAAGTCTGAGAGGAAGTGGCGCTGTAGCTCAAGTGGTAGAGCGCTCGCCTTGAGCTGAAGTGCTGAGGGACAGCACCCAGGCCCAGAGTTCAAGCCCCACGACCGACAAAAAAAAAAAAAAAAAAGAAAAAGTCTGAGAAGCCGGGTGCCAGTGGCTCACGCCTGTAATCCCAGCTACTCAAGTCCGTGAGACTCTTATCTCCAATAAACCACTAGAAAACCAGAAGTGGTGCTGTGGCTCAAGTGGTAGAGTGCTTGTCTTGAGCTGAAGAGCGCAGGGACTGTGCCCAAGCCCAGAGTTCAAGCCCCATGACTGACCAAAAAAAAAGAAAAAAAGAAAAAGTCTGAGAGACTACTATATCAACCAATAAAAATCTGGGCATGGAAGCTGCACTTGAGCCACAGTGGCCACTTCCAGCTTTTTCTTATCTCCATTTAACCAGCTAAGAGTGGGAAGCTGAAGTGTGGCTCAAGTAGTAACCAGCCTTGAAGGGAAAAGTCAAGTCTCAAGAGTTCAAGGGAGAACGTGGGGTGCAAGCCCCAGTACCGGCACAAATAAATACATAGAGCCAGGCACCAGTGGCTCACACCTGTTATCCTAGCTACTCAGGAGGCTGAGATCTGAGGATCACGGTTCAATGCCAGCCTGGGCAAGAAAGTCTGTGAGACTCATCTCGAATAAACTACTCAGAAAAAGCTGGAAGTGGCACTATGGCTCAAATGAGAGCTAGCCTTGAGCACAGAGAGGCTCAGGGACAGAGCCCAGGCCTGAAGTTCAAGCCCAAGGACCGGGGAGGAAAAAAAAAACACACAAAAAAAAGCAAAAACAAACAAAAAATAAATAGAATAAAAAAAGCAAAAGAGAATAGGCCTAAGTGTTAGAAGACCTGCCTAGCAAGGGCAAGCAGGTCTTCCAGTAAACCACAATACTTCCCCCAATCTTTTTTGTGGTCTTACAAATTTTAAATGTAAGGACAGACCCCCAGCCTAGCATATGTTTTTTCAATATTTTCCACTTGCCTGTAGTAGCGTGACTGAAGGTAAGTTGAACACACAGCTTTGGAAACGTGACTAGCAGAACCAAAGTCAATGACCTTTACTCGGTAGGGTTGGCGAACTGGATCGACCAGCATTATGTTTTCAGGCTTAAGGTCAGCGTGAATCAGACCCAGACTCTTGAGTTTCATCAAGGCGGTGGCCACCTGCTGCAAGATGGGTCTGATGTACTTGAGTGGCAGTGGGCTAAACTTGTTCTGCTTTAGAAAGTCATACAGGTTCTGCTCCAACATCTCAAACACAAGGCAGGTGTGATTCTTATGCTGAAAGCACTCGTAAGAACGAACAAAATTATACTCATCAGCATTCTCACTGCTTAGGCGGGAGAGGATGCTCACTTCAATCTGCCCTTGTCTGGCATAGGAGGGGTGGTTCTTCAGGATTTTAATAGCCACAATTTCCTTGGTGCTCCGCTTCCAGCACTTTGCCACCTGACCAAACGTCCCCCGGCCGAGGAACTCCAAGACTTCATAGCTGTTGGTCATAGAGCAAAGGATCTCGTGCTGGACAAGCTGGTAATCCCCTTCCCCACTGGAACTGCTCGTTTTGGTGGTCACAGTGGTGGTCGTGGCAGCAGCACCCACCACGGTTCTGTTTTGCAGCATGAGAGGGGGGTGTTCTTCTATGATCTGCACGCTACCGTTGCTGTCAACTTCCTCACTTTTTCTTTTCAATCCACATTTTTGATATGGCTCGAGCAGAGAAACGTTGCTTCTGTGACTCAGGGTCTGGCTGCTTTGGAAGGTGGATGGAGCGGCACTGCCTGAGCTGTCAGCGGCTGTTACCACAATGTGCTCTACGGTGGGTGCTGGGAGGAGGAGACCCTGGTCGTAAGCAGGAATACTGAAATTTGCTACCTGGCTTGAGGAGCTAGCTTGCCCTTGTGTGGCTGGGAGGGCTTTGCTGTGGGTGTAATACTTGTCGCTGCTGCTCTGTCCTGAGACATCCCAGCCAGAGGGTTCTATTTTCAGCTTCTTCGCACTGCAGAAGGCACTCGACGACACTGATGGGGGGGAAAACACCTGCAGCTGTGATGCCATACCTACACAGAGAGAGAAAGATGAGCCAGACCACAGGGAGAAAAGACGCATGTGCAAAGTGTCACGGCCCGTTCTCCCAATCATGAATAGCGTCCAACAACGTACTACATGAACCAAACCCAAGTGTTCAGGAATATTATATTTGAAAAGGACGACTCATAAAAACTGACAAAAGAAAGTAACCAGGTTGGTGACAAGGGTGGAGAGAATCTTCTGAAGAACTTCAGAAAGTTGCTTTATATGAAGAAAACCTCATTAGTAGCTCACGCCTGTAATTGTGGCCACTCAGGAAGTTAAGATCTGGAAAGCCAGCCTGGGCAGGAAAGTTCATGGGACTTCTGTTTCCAATTAACCAGCAAAAAAGACAGAAGTGGAGGTGTGGCTCGAGTGATAAAGAATGCCAGCCTTGAGCAAAAAAGCTCCGGGACAGCACCTAGGCCCTGAGTTCAAGCCCCAAGACCAACACCAAAAAATAAAATAGAAAGAGGAAAAGGCTGAGCCTGGTGATGAACTCCTGTCAGCCTCCCACAAGGCCTGTACTACACAACAAGTTCAAGCCCATCTGTTCTCCAATGTGATAATCTATCTCAGCAGGGGGGGAAATTACCAGGCACAGGTGGCTCACACCTGTAATCCTAGTCACTCAGAAGGCTGAGATCTGAGGATTGCAGTTTGAAGCCAGCCTGAGCAGGAAAATCTGTGAGACTCCTATCTCCAATTAAGTACCAAAAACACAGAAATGGAGCTGTGGCTCAAATGGTAGAGTACTAGCTTTGAGCACAAAAGCTCAGGGACAGTACACATGCCCTGAGCTCAAGCCCCACGGTCTGCTCAAAAACAAAAAGAAAAACAAATAGAAAGTGGAAGTGAAAACACAATCCAGTTGTCTAAATCAATGCCTCAAACTCATTAAGCCACAGATTAGATCCAGATTTTTTTTCATAATAAAGTCCAAGCATTTGACAAAGAATACACCCCATTTCATACTATCTGTTCCCTCCTGACAATCTGACCTTCAGAGGCTTTAAGCCCCCTTTCTCTTTTCAGTATTACTACACCGGATTCGTTCTGTGCAAGTCTAAATCTCCATTGCTAATTCAGACACTTCTCCCTCCCCACCCCATCCAAACCCTAAATGCAAATGATCACTTGATACCTCAACTTGGGACATCTAACGGACACTTCAAATTCAAATTTAACACACACACACACCTCAGCTTTCGATCTCCATTACAAGATGACATCACATATCTAATACTCTGGAGCAATAAGCCTGGGTGTACTCTTCTATATAATGGCAATAGCCCTCTCACAGGGTTGTCCAGAGACACCAGTTATTTAATCAAGGTAAAGTGCTAGTTTCTGACACAAATTTAAGGCATTATCCTCCAAATTCCTGTCCCTGTCCTTCCATGTCTAATGTATATCAATCCTTATCAATTCTATCTCATTAACATACTTAATAACCTTAAAAGCACTCAGGGAATCTGCATTTCTAAACAACACAAATCTTCCCTTTTCCTCAGGGATCTTCCACTACTTTGAGCATAAGATTAAGAATCTTGGTACTGGGAAGGTGGCTCAGTGGTAGAGTGCTTGCTTTGCATGCATGAGGCCCTGGGTTCGATTCCTAAGCATCACATAAGCATAAAGAAAAAAACCGGAAGTGGCGCTGTGGCTCAAGTGGTAGAGCACTAGCCTTGAGCTGAAGAGCTGAGGAACAGCACCTAGGCCCAGAATTCAGGCCCCCACGACTGGACCCAAAAAAAAAAAAAAAGATTAAAAATCTTGAACCATATCTGTACAACATCACCTTGCTTTGCTTTCTTTTTTTTTTTTTTTTTTTTTGGGGGGGGGGTCCAGTCATGAGGCCTGAACTCTGGGCCTGGGCGCTGTCCCTCAGCTCTTCAGCTCAAGGCCAGCGCTCTACCCATTTGAGCCTCAGCGCCACTTCGGACTTTTTTCTTATGTGGTGTTGAGGAATTGAACCCAGGGCCTCATGCATGCAAGGCAAGCGCTCTACCACTGAGCAACCTTCCCAGCCCCTTGCTTTGCTTTCTCTAACCCTTCTTTCTCTAGTTTGTTTTGAAATATGGACTCCCTATGTAGCCCAGGTTGGCCTGCAGTCCTCCTGCCTCCGTTTTCCATGTTATTGGAAGTGCTGGGATTATAGATGTGCGGGCCTCACCTGGCTTTTTCTTTAGTTCTCGTAGAGCTACTCCACATACTCTCAACTCCAGACACTAAAGACTTCAGGCTGAGCACTGTTCCCTAACATTTCTCTCTTCCTCTTCTCTCCCTCAGGCAATATACACTCCATACAATCATTCCTTATCATGGTTTACCACAGACCCTGTGGAAGCTGAGATCTGAGGATTGTGGTTCAAAGCCAGCCCAGGCAGAAAAATTCATGAGACTCTTATTTCCAATTAACCATCAAAAGGCCAGAAGTGCAGCTTTTGTTCAAGTAGTAGAATTCTAACCTTGAGCAAAAGCTCAGAGACAGGATCCATGCCCTAAGTTCAAGCCCCAGGACCGGCACCAACACTCACATGCAAAAGGCAGTGTGTCGGGCTAAAGATTCAGTTCAGTAGAAGAGCTCTTGTCTAAAGTATGCAGGGCCTGGCTCATTTCCTAGATACATTTTTTTTTTGTGCCTTGTTTAACTAAAACACACGTACACTGGAGTTAGGTAGTAAGAAAATATTCTCGGGGCTGGGAAGGTAGCTCAGTGGTAGAGTGCTTGCCTTCTATGCATGAGACCCTGGGTTTGATTCCTCAGCACCACATAAGCAGAAAAAGCCAGAAGTGGCTCTGTGGCTCAAGTGGAAGCCTTAAGCTGAAGAGCTGAGGGACAGTGCCCAAGCCCAGAGTTCAGGTCCCACGAGGGAGAGGAAGAGAGCGTGCACATATATTCTCAACCTTCAGTTTCTAAAATGTGGTTTGGGTTTACTTTAAAGAAGAGTTTCCGTAATTTATCTGAACCTTGAAGAAAGCATAAATGAAAATCTAAGGCCACTGTCCTTTAAGAGTGAGGCCATGAAGCAAAATCTATCTATATTACTAATGAAATGTCAAATAAAAGAAAAATATGAAAACAAAATAGTTCCCTCATTAAAATGTCCTGTTAATATATGTGAAGTATTTATCATCGTAAAATTAAGCCAAACTGAACAAGGAAGTAAAACTTCTACATTGTTTTCCTTTTATCTGCTGAACTCATTGTACTGATCTATCCAAAACATAAACACAACTTTCAGTAACTAGAAGTACTATGAGAAATAATATAACTTCTTCAGTTTGTATCAACTATCTAGAAATAAGGAGTTATAAGGTTTATTCTGAAAAGAATTATGAAATACAATACCTTAGGGAAAAAAAACATCCTGGCTGGGAATGTGGCTCAGTAGTAGAATGCTTGCCTAGCATGCAAGAAGCACTGGGTTTGACTCCTCAGTACAACATAAAAACAGAAAAAGCAAGAAGTGGCGCTGTGGCTCAAGTGGTAGAGTGCTAGCCTTGAGCTAATGAAGTTCAGGGACAGTGCCCAGGTCCTGAGTTCAAGCCTCAGGACCGGCAAAAACAAAACAAAAAAACTATTCATAACTACTCTTTAAAAATACGGCATTTAAGCAGGGAGCTGATGGCTAACACCTGTAATCTTAGCTGCCCAGGAAGCTGAGATCTGAGGATCACCATTCAAAAACCAGCCAAAACCAGCCTGGGCAAGAAAATCTGTGAGACTCTTATCTCCAGAAAGAGTTGGAAGTGGTGCCATGGCTCAAGTGGTAGAGCACTAGCCTTGAGCATAGAGAGGCTCAAGAATAGAACCCTCACCCTCAGTTCAAGCCCCAAGGTCAGGCAAAAAAAAGACGCTAGAATCAACAAATTTGCCTTTGCAAATGGAGATACAGTTCTTGTCGTAGGCAAGACCTCCCAAACAAACTACAAACAGAATTAACATCTGTGGAAATTTTACTAAGTATGAGTCTGTTATAAAAATTACAAATACTTTCAACTCACATGAGAATAGTTCCCATGTTATTTCTGACTTCCTGATAATGTACCCCTTGACTCCAGGAACCAAGTCTATTTCAAACCTCACTTCCCAGAACTTCACCATCTTAGTATAACTGCAAATATGCCACTGCACCAATCTAACACAAGTTGATAGGCACAAGACTAATGCTCAAAAGAAATGGAGATCTGCTCAAATCAGACTTTGAAAAACATTCAAAATAACAGCTTCAGGCGCTGATGGCTCAGGCCTGTAATCCTAGCTACTCAGTAGGCTGAGATTTGAGGATTACAGTTCCAAGCCAGCCTGGGCAGGAATGTCTATTCAACTCTGATCTCCAATAAACCACCAGAAAACCAGAAGTGGCACAGTGGGTCAAGTGGTAGAGTGTTGTCTTGAGCTGAAGAGCTGAGGGACAGTGCCCAGGCCCAGAGTTCAAGTCCCATGATGGACAAAATAAGTAAATACATACATACATAAGTAAATAAATAAATAACAGCTTCCCCATGCCACGGCAGTCACATTAACAAACATCATTTACTGGGTACCCCAACTGTATATAGATAATCATATGACAAAGAATTCCAATATTAGAATCCTGAATGGAATGGTTAGGTGTGACCTCCAAGAGTTAATTTTTCCCAACAGACCTCTAATAAATTCCTGCTGTTGTTCAGTGTCATCTTTGCCTCTTCAAAACAATGTAATAACTAGTGACCTAAATAACCTAAAAGCAGTCTTATATACTAATTTCTTCCTCTAGAACTTGCCCTTAGCTAACATGTACAGATATACATATGCTCTGTACACACTCAGGTACATGAGAGGGAAATTATTTTCCTTTAGCTGGATTATTCCTTAGCCGACCTTAGCAAATACATTTGGAAAAACCTTTAAAACTAGGTTTCTTGCCGGGCGCCGGTGGCTTACTCCTGTAATCCTAGCTACTCAGAAGGCTGAGATCTGAGGATCTCAGTTCAAAGC